GATTTCAGGTTGGTAAGACAGCATCTGTAAACCAGTTCATTTGGTTTTTAGAGTTGGCCTGATTTAGTCCTGGTTTGGTGTCAGAATACTGAGGGGAAAGTACACCTTTTGTTGTATGTGTCCACAGAGGATGTAGCCAGTCTGTACAGCCAAGGAATCTGTAGCCCAGCTGAACAGTCAGATGTTTCTCAAGACTTTGCCACGGCACAAAGTGACAGCTTGGAGAAATTAAACAGGTACGTTTGCTAAAATAATCTTATCTTCACTAAGGTGAAAGTTCCAGGTTTTAAACTGTGTAAAAATGCTTTTGAAATGCTCTTTTTCTTTCCAGTTGTACCAAAGAAAAGGATACAAAGTGGACTGAAAAACTTACACAGTACAGGTAAAAACATTATTACTGATTGTGAGTAATTAACCTTAATATAACAAAGCAGCCTTTGCAGCTTAGTCTTTTTTAGGACTTGTATAGGACTTAATCTGGACATTTGTCAGTCACATTGGTTTGTAGTAATTGTAGAAATTACTTTTCGTCTCTCTTTTCCTGAGTGGGTTTTTTTATTCTGCTTTGAAAGAAATTATTTTGAACAGAGCTAGAGCTACTGCAATACTTTCAGTACTACTAACAGAAAGATAGAAAGAAGTACTGGCACTGTTAAAGTTGGTACTATTTTTCTATTGTTGTGTGTGTATTTTAGGCAGGAGATGCGTGAAGAGAAGATCTACAGAGAGGCTATGAGGAAGAGGAGCGTTGTTCCCTTTTTCCACCCAGAAAATATTCCCCTGTACGAGGTACTATATTCTCTTAACATCATCTTAAATGATTCCCAGTCGATTTTTCTCTGTGCAGTGTAGAAAGACACAAAGCACCGTTTCTGGTTTTCTCAGAGTCTGCTACAGCAACAAATGCCTGACATGAGGAGTTTGTCAATGGCTCTCCCACCATTTCCCAAGTCGGACAGTACTGAGGGCTTCCTGAAAGATGCGCCACAGGAGGACAGTAAGTTATGATACCTTTGTGAGTATTTACTAGAGGTATAACTTGTTTTAAAGATGTTTTTTTGATT